TGACTATTCGGACTTTTGTTGGCAAGGTGATGTCTCTGCTTTTTAAGATGCTTCATCTTCAGAGAGTGACAAATGCTGAAATTTGGAAGAAAATGTTTGGTGCCTGTTGCTGTAACAAAAGGAGGAAGCACCAAAGTTAGAATAAGATTGACAGCTGAAGCGCCAATGAACGCTGACACTTCACATGGAAACTCCAATCACTGAGCCCTTGGAGAGGTCTCACACTGACCTCACAAGTTTCTATACATTCCTGTCTCTGATATCTCCTGGGGGTGGGAGGAGTGTCTCAATTTGTCTGTGGGACTTTGGATCTTAGCCTTGAGGACAACTTTTAACTGTACCGCTGACTCCATAACTGTAAATCCATATTAATCTCTGCTTCTTCCCTGAACAGGGAGAGACTATCACTAAATCATACTTGGGAGGCACACTCTTTCTCAGGAGGTCTCCAGACGTTATGAAGTCCTTGAGGAACTGAAAATAGAAGCCATTAATTAGGAAACTCTCTACTTTTATTTTGTTTTGTGTATGAGAATCTATGAAAGTTAAACAAAAGATTTCTTAAAGCATCTCTATTAGCCGGTAAGTTACGGAAAACCATAATCGAATATGAAAGATAAATAGGGGAGCCGGTGGGAAGCACAAGGGGGAGTGAGCGGGACTGAATGGGAGATTGTTTGTGCAATCTTAGCTATAGTGATTGGCCGCCACACTAATAATGAGTATATGCATTATTAATCACAGTGTTTATTCTTATAACACAAATGCAGCAAGTTAATATTTAATCCCGGATCTACAGGGCATGAATTCCCAGCACCCACCCTTTCTCCTCTGTGCCATCTTCTCCTCCTGGAAAGAGTTTGGTCATAAAATTGCCATCAGAATAGATAATAGAGGAAACTTGACTTAACCATGGTGATATAAATTCCCAAACCTGATCTCAAAATTCTTTTAGCCTCTCCAAAAAGCCACTGGAGCCCAAGTTCATGAGTTACCTGCATGGAGGGCACTCACAATTTGAGGCAGGAGTGGGGCTGTACTCCTGCTTCCACCTCCATGTTAGCTCAGCGCTCAAATATCTGAACATTTCATACCACCATCTGCAAAGGGATGGCAACACAAAGCAGCGGCTTGCATGCAGAGCGCGCACACATACACATCAGGACAACCATTATGTTGACATGGTGGTTGTTTGGAGGTTCCACACAGAATCCATGCCTCCTTAGAAGGGTTTCTTTGCAGACGAACATTTTTATGTTGTAAGTTGCGAATTCAGAGGCTGGGGTCAATATAGAGAGATGACATCATGGGACAAGAAAGGTAGTGTTGCCGTGGATACATCCTACATGTGAATAATACTTAAGCAGGGTTTCTGTTTTGTCAAAGTTGCCTCACATTCACTGTAAAACAGTAAGCTTTATATTTGTGTCTTGAATAAGGAGGGTTTGTGTATCCTTGATGTTCTTGTGTTCTCAGAGTATTTTATCTGCATACCCAGATTCCATGAAGTGGTGCTGATGATCTACATCAAGCACACATCTTGTAGAATGACCAAGGATTTATATAATAAATGTGATAAACCTGTTATTACGTATAATATGACTGCTCTGTCCCCATGTCATCAAAGCCTTCAAAGAAAGCAACTGAAATAGTTTGACACATTGATGGGGAAACCAGTAACAGCCAAAATAGGGAGCGATGGGTGGTTTTCCAAAGGCAGTCAGTATTCAGGATTTGGGGAAACGGAATGGGAAACAGTATTTTTTATTTATTTATTTGTTTTTGGGACTTATATACCACCCCATAGCGCTACAAGCACTCTCCGGGCGGTTTACAATTTTAATTATACAGGCTACACATTGCCCCCCCAGCAAGCTGGTTACTCATTTTACCGACCTCGGAAGGATGGAAGGCTGAGTCAACCAGGCTTCCTTTCAGTTTTGCACATAACTTCCAATATTTTCATTTCTTCCCCTTGTATAAAAATATTTCATCTCGAAAATGACTGTTGCTTTGCAGGGGTCAGGTTTACTCAAATAAGCACGGAGAACTGAGGACATTGACACTTGATGAAGCTGTTTACCTTACCTTCCCCCCTTCTACATTCACATTATCTTGCAAAGCACCACCCTTTTGTGACACACTCAACATTTGTACTTTTTACGCTTTAGACTAGAATTCCATAATCCTCCAGCCAGTGTGACCTTAGCCAATGCCTGTTGGAGATTCGGAGAGCTGTAGTCTAGGAAACTAATGTTTCTAAGCTCCGTATCACCCATCACCATGGATCAACCCTTCACCTTTCTCTTCTAGTCCTGACAATACTGCCCGTGCGAAGGCTTCGGAAGCTGAAGTGCCATTTCCCCCTGGCTCCTGTTATTGTCATTTCTAGAGACAATTTATAGGCATTTGGGATAAGATTCCAAGGAAGTTATTAATTAGTGACAGGAAAGAATCCAGTTTAGTTTATGGTGTGGTATGGAGAAGAGAGAAGTCTGAATATTGATGCCCTGCATGATGATGATGATGATGATGAGATACAAAAGAATTGAGGGTAGGAAACAGTTAAGGATTGTGGGTAAATATATGCAGTTTCTGGTAGTGATTACCCTCCAAGTAATTAGTTTTTAAATCAGGCAGACATTTCAGCAGCCACTTATTCTGAACAGTGTTAATTATTTATGTTCCCTATTATTCATATTATTTATAGCAGGTTCTTTTTAAAACAGGAGCAGGATAGGGCAGTGGGGCCACTCATCCTGAACAAAGTCTTTGGCAAAGCCTCCCCCAAACCCAGTCTCTTGTTTGTTGACCACAGCCACTGGCCAGACCTGCATTATGTTTTTTTACATAAAATGTTGGTCTCCCCTTTAGGTAGAATGACGAGCAGAAGTACCGCGAGGCATCTCTCTTCTCTTTCTTCCATTCACGACTGGCCACAATCATCTGTTACTGTCTGCTGTGGGGCCCTGAACAAGAAGTTAGGCTAGTTGACTTAAATATTTATTTAAAGATTTTAATTGAGTTGATGTGGCAAGCAATTGTCACCTTAACTTCATTTTATAGATTTGGTACTACAGGTTTAGTTTTTTTTAAAAAAAGTACCAGGAAAAATGCTGGTTAACTACTGGATTCTCACCCCGATTTCAGTTGTGGCTTGTTTTTGTGTCCCATTTGTCCAACACTGAATGCAAAATAAAATATCTTTACACAAATGTGATATTTTTTTTCCTGCAAAAGATACAACAGACTTTAGGATTTCAATTGGCTTTCAACTGATTAGGATTAGAGATGGGATATTCATATTCATCCCCCAGGGGAGACAAATACAAATATTGCCATCACAGGTGGCCGGCCTGATTGTACTTTTTCCTCAGAGGTGGGGCATCGACTTACTGCTTGCACCATGACACCCATGGCTTGTCCTCATCTGCACCGCGTCAATAGTGGAAATAGCTTGGCCAAGGCTCCCTCACCTCCCTGCACTGCTGACCACTCAGCAGCTGAGCAGAGAGACTCGTCATCCTGCCTCCATGCCGGATTGGTCACCAAGTGCAGGGAGGCAGGGAAGCCCCAGCCGGGCTACTTCCACAATTGGTGCAGCATAAATGGTGGTGGCTGTCTGTGCCACCAGGGGTAAGTGGATCGCCCGTTTCTGGGGGAAGGGTCCAATGGGCCCATCCACCTGTGGTGGCAATATTTGTATTTGTCTCCCAGGGGGCAAAAATACCAATACCTCATGTCTAATTAGGACTGCTCACTCAGGATACTTGTTAAGGCGATAACTTCACTGGTTCGCCAACTTGAATCTTTGGGCAAGGCAATTTATAAATGTTCTGAATCAACAAATGTGTATCTAGTATAACCTATAATGGCAGATGCTGCAGAACCATCATAAATATATGTGCCTTTTCTGGGCACTGGATTTTCACTGCTGTGTAATGGCAGATGCTGCAGAACCAACATAAATTTTCTGGGCACTGGATTTTCACTGCTGTGACTGCTGCATGAAATTGTGAGTTGGACGTTCCAGGTGGTACAGCCCATAATGTTTAATGGTTTACCCTTCTACACTGTGCCACCCATCATGATCAAATGTGAGGCAATGCATTCTGTATTCAGCCTCATGTGCTGGGTGTTGTCATATGCCACTGTACTCCTGACCTGCAAAAAGGGAGGTAGGCAGGGCACAGGTATAGCGTATTTTGTATGCTTGTATCTAGTTGCATCACTGCAGTTTGATGTCATACCATAGCTAGGCCTGCAGAGCCACCTTGCAAGCTAGAGCTTGGAAGAATCCCTGAGCTCGCATGGAGAAATATATTATAAGGCCACATTGAAATGAACAGTTCATTTCACTCCCTATGTAGAACTGTCTTCTTGACAGTAGAGTATGTGCAGTGCATTCTGCTTTTTACCATAAAAACCCTTCAAACTTGTGATCCTGCACATCCAAGGGAGTCACCTTCTGTTCTACAGGGCAGTAGTCCCCAACCTTGGGCCTCCAGATGTTCTTGGACTTCAAACTCCCAGAAATCCTGGCCAGCAGAGGTGGTGGTGAAGGCTTCTGGGAGTTGTAGTCCAAGAACATCTGGAGGCCCAAGGTTGGTGATCACTGCTTTAGGGCATGGTGTAAATCAAAAGCTCTATGTTAGCTGGAGGGATCCAGATTCTTCTTGGGTGTTTAACCAGCCTTAAAGGCACACACTTAAAAGCTATAAGAGATACATCTAAAGGAAATACAGTGGTGCCCCGTATAGCGAAGTGGTGGCTTAGCAAATGGGAGAAAAGGCATCAAAATTGCTTTCACTTTCTGAGAAGGCTGCTTGGCCATTTACAGGGGAAGTTAGTTTATAGGTGGAGGCTGAAGCAACATTTATACAAAAGAGTTCTCAAAGCATCTTTGGTTTTCTTGAAGGAGTTTCCAAGCAAAGCCTCATGAGCTTTGTGTTTGTGCGTGCGTGTGCGCCTGGACCCGTAACACAAACATAACTCTCCTGAAATTTTCCATTTGAAACATTTATTTTTGGGAAATACATATTAAACACTATTATTTATACAAAACAGGACTGAATTTGTCATAATGCATACAATCCTCAAAAAGGCAATTTTTGTTTTTATAGATTTGGATGTGGGTTTTTTTATTCAGTAACTCCCCTCCCCACCCAATATAAAAAGAGAAAGCCATTTCTGTCTTGCTTTCTCTAGCTGAGATATTGGCAAACAAGACATGATGCATTTTTTTTCCTGCATCTAAAGGGGCAAAAGACATTCTTCATTTCATAGTTACCCATTTCATAGTCTTAACCACTTGAAATATATATATTTAGTTAATACACGATTTTTATTTTGCTAAAATATAGCAAGTCAGCAAGTAAAAAAAATAATTTTCCTCAGCTTAACACAGCTCAGTAAAGATTCCTCCATAATTACTATTTTTATTTTTCGTTTTAGTTTGGGAGGGACAACATAGAAGTTAAAAGGACAGTTTAGACTTACTTAAAACAGAAAATGTATGACAGGCTCTGAGCAAAAAGTATACTCATCATGGGATTGAACTGCACAACAAAATGCCTGAGAGCTTGGATTAATGGAAAGAAAAGCATGTGGCCAGGACAGAAGCAGCAAAATAAGGTAACAGGCAGTGTTGGGTGAAGCTCAGTTTGACAAGTTTCTTTTAGGGACACCTGCCAGAGAAAGGGGCCATCCCTTGGAATTCTACTGTGACATGTTAAGGTGTGAAGCATTCTTCTCAGGCGTGTTTGCCTGCTGAGAGTGGGTCACTCTGGTGCCTGGAATAAGCAAGGTGAAAATGTAAGGCCTGCCCTTTGTGAAAGCCAGGAATCAGCATGTATGATTCCTTTTCCCAGGACTCCACAAGAGGGCAGCACAGAGCTTGTCTGTCCCAAATGGACCAGTGACGTACAGCACAAAAAGAGAAGGCAATATTCCGGAGCTGGCAAGTTGTTTCCCGAGAAGAAGAGAAAGCTAGGCTCTCCTGGCTGGCCTTCTTCATAAGATCACTATTACCAGCCAGGGTTTCAGGCCTTCTAAATGAAGGTTCCATTTACTCCCCTCCCGGACATTAATGTTATGGGAAAATGGCACCTGAACAACTTCAAACTTCCTCAGAAGGAAGGGATAGAAAGCATGTTCCACTTGAAAAATAGTAAGACTGGCCGGAAGATCTGAATGGAGTCTATGTTAAAACCGCTCTCTGAATAGCTCATACTAAATGTTGGCCTATTATGTTAAAGCTTAGGGCCAGTTGCCACAAGCAAACAGCCTAGATGTGATCTTGACCCATCCGCAGGAACTGAGATAATGTGCACAAGAATATTGGGTAAACTGGCACTCTTGATGACTCTGTACTTTGGGCCAAAAGTTCTAAACTGCAAATGTGTGCAAGACCCCGGGCCAGTCCACATAAAGAGTACAGTTTTTCACACAGAAATGACCCATGTGTACTGGCATGTCTACAGTTTGCACACCCGGGGAGCCACAGTCAGAGGGGCTACACACAGAAACTGCACACTGAGAAACACAAGCCTATCCAGAACTGAAGCTTCTCTCTAGCTTCTTTAAATAGTTGGAAAAGAAGGGGAAACAAGAGAAAGTCAGCAAAAACATTGTGAAGACTAGGGGTTTTCCACATTCGTTTTGTGGAAACTATGTACAACTCCAGCACATGCAAGCATACACTAGGCATTTGAACAGAAGTCTGAATCAAGTGCATGCACAGCAAAGACACAGACATCTAAGAAGGTGACAGGATTTGAGGTTTTAGCTCTGGAGGACGGGGAGATGGTGGAAAGAAGAGGATGCCCTTCTAAAATTCACAAAGGTCTTCGCTTGCCAACAGCAGTCTCTAGTTATTTGAGTTGCCATACTTGTCACATAGTTGGCATGCTTTCTCTTTTCTAGTGAACAAGCTGGCCCCATATTATTGCTGACTTTTGAAAAAAGAATGGGAGAAAGATTAGACATGCGGGAGCAAGAGGTACACAGTGTTGAGTGGAATTGTGCCACGTGATTGTAACTCCTTTCTCTGTCATTCAACCTTTATGTTAAAAGCCAGCTCTAGTAAAAAAAAATTTTTTTCACCTTAAATGGATAGTGTTAATACAGAAAGAGAAAGAGAGAGAAACACACAAAAATGACAAATATACCAAACAAAAAAAGAGACACCCACCCACTTCTGGCTTACCAGACAGTAAACCTTTGGCACTAGATAAATCAACTATATCAGAAGAATTTCCATAGCCCTGAACCACTGACACAAAGAAGGAAGAAATTAGTCTCTCTCTAAGCTCTCTTCTCCTCCTTCTATATGTAGCAGGGAAGATCTTGTGGCACTTTCTGTCTAACATCTATATGAACCCCACCAGGCCTCTCCAAATATTTGATAAAGTGGGCTTCCTCACCTGGATCAATCTTCTGCAATTTCAACACACCCTGATTTGATACTGCTCTATGAGGATAGGCTGCATGGACGGAGTGAGGAATACTTGGCAGTCCCCTTAATACAGCCATGCCTCATACTTACTAGCCAGAAATCACAGCACAAGACAAAGGTCAAAATCCTGTTGGTTAGTATCGTAAATCACACTAAATTTAGGCTCACTGAATCAATGGGGATTTGGTGAGTCCATAAATTCCACTGATTCAAATGGGCTACACTCTAACTGTGACTTACTTTAGCATAGTAGCCATAGTTCAGAATAGGCCCTTTTGAATCAGCAGAACGTACAGAGGAGTTGACTTACTAAATCCCCATTGATTCACTGGGTTACTATAGTGTGATTTACTATGCCAAACAACAGGATTTTGCCCAAAGAGTCATAACAAACTTTCTACCAAGCCCAGTAGACTTGAATATTCAGGCAGGAACTTTGTATTGTGATTGACAGAAAAGGAAAGCATGACTCTAACAAGTTCCATGATCGCATTCTCAAGAACCTAGGCCTGCTATGATCAGTAACACATCCTCCACCAACCTGCAAAGTGGCCAGTTTTACCAGCAGATCTGTGCAAACATGGCCACAACTGTTGATGTTAGGCATCAAACCAAGAAAAGCTTCTCTTCTTTAGATTATCTTCGGGCTCCTCCCTACTGCTCTCTTACCACACCCCAAAGGACAGAACATACGTTTCACACTACGGAGACTGTGAAAGAACGAGGCTTGCTTTCATTTATGAAATACTGTTATTTGGTCATCAGTGTGGGGTATGAATGGTAAAGAGGAGAAAAGAATAGTGACCCCAGCAGAATGGTTATGCTTTGTTTTAGGAACAGAGGAGGATGGGGAAGGAGGAAGAAAGTAAATTTGGGTCCTAGCTCAGGAAAGGAGTGTTACATTTCATTGACCACCAATTCTTCCTTGTCAGCCACACCATTGGAGAGCATGTTCTGGTTCTCATTCAAGCGTTTTACTCTGTAGGCTTCAAAATGGATGCTGCTGGTAATGTCCTTGATGTTCTGCATGTGTGTCCTAGAGGAAGGAGGAGAGATGATGAAACGGAGTTTATGCTTCATGTGGGAGACAGAACCAAACACAGCCTGATAGTGGAATGCCAAGATGAAAGGGGCACAGCACCACAAATAAAAGGTACGGCATGACCTCACACAATCCCAGATCCAGTCTTTGGCAGTAAATGTGAAGGAACTATGTGAAGACCTTAACCTGAGGGTAGAAGGATCTCTCTTTCCTGAGCACAAGGCAACAGCTTCTACCAGGTTCCTAGGAAGGAGGCTTGCCAGAGCCAGGAAAAGTTACTTTGCTGGACTACAATCCAAAAATTCTATTTCATGCTTTGTTTGTTTGTTTGATTGACTGATTTCTACACCACTTTCCTCCCAGAGAAGGGACCCAAGGTGGCTCACAATAATTGAAACAGATAGACTAAAACATAATAAATTACAAAGTTTAATAAAACCCACACATATAATATTAATTAAAAAGGTTATCTGAACATTTGGAAGCTTTCACTTAAAAGGAACATATGCCCAGCATCCAGTTGCGGCTAATTTTCATCAATTAACTTATTAAAAGTGTGCTTAAAAAGGCAGGGCGCCAACCTAGCCTCCTGATGAACAACCTTCCACAACCTGGGAGCAGCCATAGAGAAGACTTTCTCTTGCGTCCCCCATCAAATGTGTCTGTAATGACAATGGGGCCAAGAAATGGGCCTGCTCTGCAGATCTTAGGGGCTGGGAGGGCTTAAATGGAGCAATACAGTCCTTCATATAGCATGGAACCATGCTGTATGATTTACGAGTCATAAGGAACATTTTGAATTTGCCCTGGAAATGAACTGGGCAGCTCCTGAAGCTGTTATAATAGAGGAGTTGTACACTTCCTGTCAGTGGCCCCAGTCAGCAGTCTGGCTGCTGCATTTTGAACCAGCTGAAGTTTCTGAACCATCTTCAAAGGCAGTTCCACCTAGAGCATGTTACAGTAATCTAGCAATCCTTTTTTCAAACTCTGGTCTGGGAAGTAATTACAGTGTCACTTCCACTTATGTAAGCTTTGAGTTGAATTACAAGCATAATTGTCATATGGAGTGGAAGCAACCGGGTCTCGGCTGCTCTAATATCCTTTCAGGCAATGTGGAGAAGCTGCATGCACGGTCTCCCTCCAATCCCAGAAGCAAAAGTGAAGGAAGTTTCTACCAACCTGATCAGAAGATCCCGCAAATAGGCAAACTCACAGTGCGTCGTATTCTCAACTGTAAAGGCAGGACACAAAATCGCTGTTAACACAAACTTGATATCCAAGTATAACTCCACTAACCTAGAGCAAGCGAGGCTTGCAAAACTCACATCACACTCCCACTCCACAACTTTTCTTCAGCATCTGATTCCAAAGAAGGCACTTAATCACTAAAATATATACAGTGGTGCTCTGCTAGACGCTTACCCGCTGAATGACGAAATCGCTTGACAATGACTTTTTTGTGATCGCAAAACGATGTTTCCTATGGGGTTTTTTCACTTTACGTTGATTAGGTTCTTGCTTTGTGAACCATTTGTTCACAAAACAATGATTTTTCTAGCTCCTCAAAATGGCTTCCCTTCGCAAAATGGCTGTTTTCCAGACAGAAGCTTCGCAAAACAGCGATTTTAAACAGCTGATCAGCGGTTCTCTATGGGCGATCTCCGCTGGATGATGAGGTATTTCCCCACTGGAATGCATTAACCGGTTTTCAATGCGTTCCAATGGGATTTTTTTTTTCGCATGATGATTTCGCTGTATAGCGATTTTAACGGAACGGATTATCGTCGTCATGCGGGGCACTACTGTATACACTTACAAGAAGCGCTTGTAAATCTCTGTAGTAAATGTATACCAATATCTGTGTAGAGAGATATATATACAGATAGGCTAACCAGTGCTGTAGTGGACAGACTAGGACTCAGGACACCTGAGTTCAAATTCCTACTCAGCCATGGAAACTCATGGAGGGTGGAGGACTGGCCACCATTCTTTAAATATCTCACTTAACTTGAAAGCCCTAGTAGGGTTGCTATGAGTTGGTTCTGACTTGACAGCACATTGCATATATACATGCATAGACACATTGACATGTGTGTTTACAATACATGCATGCACACACACACACACACACACACACACACACTTATGTACATGTGTATATGTGTGTGTGTGTGTGTGTGTGTGTGTGTATGCAAAGAGGCAGGAAGCAGCTCCTTTTTGATAGCCTTGCTGTTGTTGTTGCTGCTTTTATGAACTATCAAAGACTGGCCACAGGGGGGAAGCACAAGGCTTAAAATGAGCTGACTTCACCCCCCCACCCCCACCCCGAAATCTTACTTGGAGGGAAAGGATTCCAAAGAATCTCCAATCAAAATGACCTAAAGAATCAGCCACAGAAAAAAGCTAGCTTGTGCCTCTCATTATAAATGCATGTGTATGCACTGGGAGGAAGAGGTCCTTTGCTGTAGCTGATGGGGCAGAGCACTGGCATCTCAACCGGAGTGCCTGAAGACATGGTCAAGGCAGGACACACAACTGGGAGATTTCCATAAAGGAAGAATATTTTCATTGGGTCAAGCAAGTTTTTGCAACAGATATAACTTCTAGATTCTAGGGCACATCAAGAAAACTTGTTCATGCTCATTTTTAATTTAGAATATGTCTATGAAGGTTTTCATGCTTATTTTGAATTTTAAAATACACAGAATTTTTTTTCATAAAAGGGGATCAGATGATGGCAAAAGAGATGGGGAATTGTGAGGTTTTCCTAAAGTTGAAAACAGAGAAGGCATGATGCTGAATGGTTTGTGAAATGCTGGGTAGTGACAGATTATGCTACGAATATTTCCAGCAGGATGCTTATTAGATTAGTTGAACTCCACTGGAGCTGTTTCCCGTGAAACCGGCCATCTATAATTATACTACAGTTTTAGGGGAAGCTTTTTGGGCAACAAAGTTATTTGCACTTAGATATGAGGAATCAACTGAACACAGAAAGGATCTCCCTTTTCCCAAAATCTTTTACTGCAGGGCAGCTCCACTGAGAGGCAAATATACCTCCAGGAAACAAAGGGCAACAAACAGGGAAGGAATTATGTTCATGGTAGTCTGGGGCCCATTTTATCTCCCAGCTACAGACTGTGTGTGCTTGTGAAGCAAGACTTCTATTTTTTTAAACAATGCACTGCTTTTCATATCAGGGCCACTTTTTTCAATTGCACTGCAAAGTGTGCTATCAAGGCAGGGAGTGTCCCACTTTGCACATGATCCTCTCTGCATGGTGACATGTAATATCTCCACCAGTAAGCATCCAAAAGACCATGCTTGGGGCCTCTCTGCTAGGCCACGCGAGCCCTTTAGCCCAGGAATCAACTGCACGCCTCTGCTTTAACATCAAAGCCCTCTGCTCTCTCCCATGATTTTAGAAATACAAAGCACAAACGCAGCAGCTAAGCTAGTCAGACTGGCTTGCCAGTAGAGAGAAATAATCAAGGAAAGGGAACACAATGAAATAAGGCACTGACACTATCGAAAACAGGTTTTGCTTTTCTCCCTTTGAGTTAAATAGGGCTATTTGTTTCAGCACACATTCCTCTAGCAGAAGAATCCTATAAGGTGGAGAGACAAAACGGTAGGAGGAAATTATAACAGGAAATTTTACATGCCAGTTGTAGGATTTGTGTAGATTTCCACCCAAACCTGTGTCAAGTACATGCCTGGTGTATCTGTATGGGTGTGAGTGCACTCACAACACACCCATATAATGTGCTGATACCATGTTACAGCTTGGAATTTCACAAGAGAAGTTCAAAGTTCTAAACTTTCCCTCAGAGACTGGACCTCTGGGTTTGGAAAGGATGATCGAACCTGTCTTGTGGCCTTCCCAGTAGATGGGGTAAATTCTCCACCTCTCGTGATGGATAGGAGGGTAATACTGTACGTACCTTCCTCTGAGAGGGTCCTGGCATAGCTCTCTGAAACAGCTGCCTCCCTGATGTGTTGCTTTGGAGGGATTCTTAGAATGAGACACCCTGCAAGTGAGTCCTCCAGGAAGCAATGCACAACAGTCTCAATTGCAGGTGTTTGGGCTTCATCACAGGCTGTGTTACATTACAGCCCTGGAATCAGGGGCTACATCAAAACCTCTCTTTTTAAAAAGCTTGAGTTTTTGAGGAGGGATCTGAAGGGAGTGAAAGAGTTGGCACCACAAGCAGTTCTAAGGATGGGCTTTGCATCCTCATTCATTGCTCCAGACCAGGTTTTATGGGCTTTTGCAAAGCCCTGTTTCCTGAGCCTTGATAGACACCAGGCAGGCCCCCCGAAGTGAGTAGTGCTGTAGCAACGTTTCAGGAGGGTGCCTCCTTTCAAAGCATAGCACAGCCTCTTTCCCTCGGCAGTTCTGATATAGGATCAGGTCAAGCTGGGGGACCAGTAGTCCCCTCGAGGCTTTGGATAACAACTCCTGCAACCCTTGCCATTTGCCATGATGGGATGAGGTGTTGCTGATGGATATTGCAGACAAAAAGTTCCTCACTCCTGGTCTATGACTCTGAATCTCTCTATACCTCATTAATTTCTGAAGAAGAAGAAAAAGACAGATGGAGAATTATTTTTGGAGAACCTCCCTGTTCTGATCAAGGAGACATCACTTCCTCTAGGTTGTAGCATTGTCCCCAGTTCTGCTCAGTCTGGTGGGGAAAAGCAGCAAACCACAATCTGATACTATGGACATCAAAAACTGCAAATGCCATGGTCAATTGGACCCCTCTGTGAATCAGGAAATGGTAGAGGCCGCAAAGAAAGCCTACACGCTGTTCAAGTCAGACCCACGTAAGAAACTTAAGCCACAAAAAAGAGGGGCCTTTTTCCTGCTCAGTGGACAGCAGCAAAGCACACAACTAACTGCTCATGCAGGACACTGCTGTCACCTTTGCATGTTCAAATATCACGCCGGAAAATCTAAAGGTGTAAGAAGAGCAGAAAAAGAAAAAGCAACAAATAGGAATGGAAACCTTTACCTTCTATTGTGCCCCATTTTGTCTTCCTTCCCAGAATTCGCCTTCCGTTAATCTGGTATTCTTGGTCACTGCCCACGACAGCAAATGGAATCATTTCCTATTTTAAAAAGTAATAGATGTCAGAAATGGGGGGGTCATAATGTTAGCCTTAAAACAAAAAGCCACTTTTCTAAGGGGACCCACAAAATTACAGTGGTTACATGATGCAGAATCTTCCTGGAAGTCCTAGGCTGGTTCTGGAAATGAGAGGTGGCTCAGGGGGGAGCATCCCATAAACAGGCAGCTACCATCCAGATTTTTTTTTTGTTAGATTTGAATTTCACTATTAGATTCGAGTTTTACTACTAATTACTCCTGTAGTTGTTTGTGCAAGATAATATGACATGTCACGGTTAACAGTGGCTAATTAATGAGGCGTCTCCGTTGCACAAAGGGGAAAGGGACCAGGTAGGCAACTGAGATGCATCTCAGCACACTGCCAATTAGCCACAGCAAGTTAGGTCAACCTTAAGCAAGTATCATTAGGATTGTTTTCATTTCACTTCATAATTTATTTTGCACGCTGTTTATAGACATTTTACCAGCTGAGGTGAAAGACATGTGCACACACCCCTTTTCCACATGTAGAATCCAACTACTCTGGCATTTGAATCTGGCGACAGAGAAGCGTTCTCCATCAGGTGCTAACCTGATGACAGGAAGTTGGTGTAGGGTCAAAGACAAGTCACGTGACACATACAGCTTTGTCCCCCATGACCTGGGTACCCATGCCTGGTCCCCCCAGCACCTGTTGCTTAACGAAGCTGCCTTAGTCTGCCTAATGGCTAGCCCTACTCAGAGAATGCATTTCTAAAGCCAGCAAAAATAGTAAATATAATGGGAAAAAAGTGCTTTTCAGCACTTCAGGCCAAACATGAGCAAAAAAGGCAAAACAAAAGATCTACCCACTTACTCTAAACTTTTCATTTATGAGCCGATCTTCAGAGTCTTCATCAAACTGTTTCTGCGGATACACATCAATGCCATTGGCAAGGAGATCTGCTGTGATCTAAGAAAATAAAAAGTAAGAATCCAGGGAATTAGATGGAAATGTTTTAATAAATAAATAAATATAAATAAATAAATAAATAAATAAATAAATAAATAAATAAACAAACAAACAAACAAACAAACAAACACACCAATCAACCAAGCTCTGATTGAAAGAGTTGTCCCAGGACTGCTCAGTCTGGACCAGCAAAGTTTGCATGGGGCCCCATTTCCTCCTCACCCACCATGGGTCCTAGGACAAGTCTGTTCTGTGTCTGGACGGGAGGGTGCCTGGGAAACCTAGGGGCAATGGCTTGAGTTCAAAGGAAGGAAGGCTACATCCGGTAAAATAAACAAACAAGCATGACTGCTGAGGACCTTTGACTAGACACATATTACACAGTAAATACAGTACATTACTATGCAGTGACAACCTTTGAGGGTTTGCTTTGATCATCTAACGGATCCATGCCGTTTAATGCAGCTTCACACAGAGTTTGCCCAGCCATTTTCCCCTACTGCCTCGTGATTCAAGGGCATCAAGGGTCAGAAATCATCACATGTGTTTGTTTTGCTTTCTGGCAAGAAGAAAAGACAATAGTTCGTCTTCAACTACTGTGTCAAAGAGGAACAATGAGAAATAGCATTGGTGGGCAACAACAGCAGGGGAAAGGAGCAAAACAAACACCACTGCAATTAGCAAGGCAAACTAGGGTGTTAAAAGTTAGGTGGCAAAAAGCAATGGGCAGAAAGTGTGGAGTCCAGAATGTTCCTGTGTTAAACGCATGGGCTGAAATCCACTATGAAGTCACAACTAGAGTAGATCCACTGAATCAATGGAACTTATGGAGGAGCAGACTCACCAAATCCATACAGATTCAATCAGCCCACTCTGGTTGTGACTTACAACTGGCTCTCAGCCACTATCTTCCTTTCCAGAGCAATGTCAAGGGAGGGTCTGTTTTAAAAATCTACCTGGAGAAAGATCTGCGAAAGAAATAAGAATCAAGATGGGAAATTCAATTTATTCTCCCTTCCTGAAGGGGTGGCTAGCCAAGAGAAACACATTCAGTGGCCTGGAGATCAATGAAGGCCTTTCCTCTCACCATGCAAGATTGCTCTGAGCTGCAGCCCAAGGAATGTGCTGGGCTCTTGGCCAGTGAACCGGTTTCAAAGAGCTGTTTAGGGGAAGCAGCTGAAGGAGAACTCCTCCCTAGAAAGGTCAGAGAAGGAAGCATCCTCCTCATCAGTCCCTTACCCTTTGTTTGAAGTAGTCCCTCTCTTCCAGCGTTAACGTGTCTGCTTTGGCAATGACAGGCACAATGTTGACCACTTTGCTCAGACGTCTCATGAATTCAATGTCCAGTGGCCGGAGGCTAGAAACAGGAGAGAGAAAGAAGACCAGAAAGGATGAAGCATCTACCCACCGCTCCTTTGCTGGCTGGAAACATTTAAAGACAACACAAAATGTCACAAGGAAGCACAACCTTCATGCTACGTTTGCAAGCTCCCAGCTGAAATTTAAAAAAAGCAGAATATGAACATGAATGCAGGCGCAACTGACTCTGTTCGATTTCTTCTAGAGATCTTCTACTTCCGTCATCAATGGGATCTGCATGGGACAACTATTGATCCTGTAACGGCTGGGACCAATAGTTGATCACTTCATCTGCCATGCAGCATGGCAGCTGCAGCCATAGAATCATAGAAAAGTGAAGTTGGAAGGGGCCTACAAGGCCATCAAGTCCAAACCCCTGCTCAACGCAGGAATACAATCAAAGCATATCTGCCAGGTGATTATCCACATTTTTCTTGAATGCCTCCAGTGTTGGAGCACTCACCAACTCCTGAGGTAACTGGTTCCACTGTTGTACTGCTCTAACAGTTAGGAAGTTTTTCCTGATATTCAAATGGGCTCCCTTTAACTTGAGCCCATTGTTGCGTGCCTTGCACTCAGAGATGATGGAGAACAGATCCTGCCCTTCCTCTGTATGACAGCCTTTCAAATATTTGAAAAGTGCTATCTTATCACCCCTCAGCCTTCTTTTTTTCAAGGCTAAACAGGCCCAGTTCTTTCCGTCTTTCCTCATAAGGCTTGGTTTCCTGCCCCCTGATCATCCTTGTCGCCCTCCTCTGAACTTGTTCCAATTTGTTAGCATCCTTCTTGAAGTGTGGTGTCCAGAATTGGCCATGTTGACATGCCTTGTGGCCTGGGGGTACCATCAGCTCTCATTTCCTCCGCCATTGGCAAGGCCCATGTCATAAGCTGGCATTCCCTGTGGTACGTGTGGATGGGATCAATTGAAGAAACCACAGCAAACTGCTATGATTTTTCTGTGCCAGTTTTAATACATAGAAGAAGGAAAACAGGAGCAAGTAAAAGCAAAACAGTGCCTCCATATTCATCTGGGTAACCACAGGATTTTCTGGTCACGGACTGAACAAAGGTCGAAGTGAATGAGATGCCATTCACACCACTGGCTTAAAAAAGGTAAAAAGTCAGTTTCCCTCTCCGACACATGACCCAGATCACTCCCTAAGAGACTAGGGACATATTAAGCATTTTTCTATGCTCCATTCATTCCAATGGAAACCACTCCCAGGGCAAATAGCAGGCAAGAAAGTCTGATCAACAGTGAAGAACAAATGCTTGATGTCTCCTATTGTCCCTTTCCCAATGTCTTGATCTAGAGAAGAGGAGCACACTTGCTTCATCCCTCCCCCCCCCCACTTTCTGAAAGCTATCCATGCCATGGCTAGTGACATTAATGGCATTCTCAGCCTAGTTTGACCCTAAGCCTCAGAGCACAGATGGTTTTGCTCTTCTTGTTAAATCTCACATCTCTCTCTCTCTCTCTCTCTCTCTCTCTGTCTCTCCCTTTCTCTCTCTCTCTCTCTCTCTCTGTGTAGTGGATTGAGAATTACTGGGACTTTAGTGAATCCTGGGTTCAACTCCTGGTTCACGTTGGAGCAAGGGATAAAATAGGGGCAAATCCCTTTATGCCACCTTAAGGTCTTTGGAGAAAGTGCTGGATAGAAATGTGATGTACACATTAAGTACTCTCTGATGCTCATGTTAGCATTTTGCTATATACTGCTCTAGAATCTCCGGACGTTCCTGCGTAGGCGCAGGATAACCCATTTGTGTGCATTCACAGAGTACGAAGAATAACGTTTATCATTGCAACATAGGCAAAGGGTTACTTTCCTCATCCTATGCCAAAATATGGCTACATTATGTATCCACATGTACATCTGTCATGTATGACAAATATGCACATTACATATATCCTTTCCTTGTGGGGGTGTTAATCCCAGTTAAGGTGAATGAACATATGTGAAGCATTCTTATTGTGCAGACATCAGCTTAAAAACCCAGAAGGCCCACGAATTCCAGCTCAGAAGCCTTCCTAATTAGGGACTGCTTTTGCCAACAAATACAATGCCAAATGCTTAGCAGACCAAAAGTGCATTCCCCCTCCCCCAACCCCCCTTTCAAAACTATCTTGGCTAGGTCTGGCAGTTTATAGGGAGTAGCCATTCCATACCAATGACCCACAAAACGAAAACATTTGGGAACGGCCAGCTAGGCAGTTTCATGGCCCCAAAGACCTTTTATTCTGCTCTGTGTTCAGCAAGCTATTTAGGACTCAATGAATCCGTAGCCTACATCAACTCAGGCTCGGCTCGGCAAAGGGATACATTCCAGGCACAGGGGGAAAAACTGCTTGGCTACAAAATTGCTGGAAATGTTGACTGATTAATTTACCTTTTTATAGATTTCTGTCTGCAAAAGCTTTGCACGTGGACAGACACACTTTGCCAACAGAGAAAAGGCTGCTAGCAGAAAAACACAAGATTACTAGACAAGCTGAGTAGCAGTGGCAGGATGGCTAGGTAGGTAGAGGAGAGTTTGCCTTTTTCAATAGTTTTGCAAATTCAAACTCAGTTTTGCAAAGTCGGCTCAGCTAATGGCACTCTCTTCTCTCTCAGTAGTATGAATACAGAAAGCAAGCTCATGAATTCAGGAAGTATCCTAATCCGTAGTCTCTATTTTGTCAGAAGGGACAATTTCCCAGGTGTCAGAATGTCTGACAGTTAGTTTACAGAGTGGTAAAAATCTGCTTGCTATCAGCTTGGCTAGCCTTCTTCTGCATCCCCAGCATATATTTGTACAGTGGTGCCCCATATAGCGATGATAATCCGTTCCGGAAAAAATCGTCGCTATATGGATTTGTCGCTATGCGGAACAAAAAAGCCGATAGGAATGCATTAAAACATGTTTAATGCGTTCCTATGGGCAAAAAACTCACCATTCTGCAAAAATCCTTCATACGGCCGCCATTTACGCTGCCCGGTAAGCAAGGAATGGGTGCGAAAACACTGCGGGCGGCCATTTTTTTACCTGGCGGCTATTTTGGAACTGCCGATCAGCTGTTAGGAAAACATCACTATGTGAAAATCGGTAAGCGAAACAGCTTACCGATCATCATAAAGCGATGTTTTGCCATTTAAAACATCGCAATGTGATCGCAAAAAAACCATCGCTATGCGGATTCGTCGTTAAACGGGGCGCCCGTTATGCAGGCCACCACTGTATTTTAAAACATGAATGTGGACTCTTGGGTAAAAAGGCACAGGACATCAAGCTGCTTAAATGCATGGTCCATTCTGAAAGAAAGAAGCATGGCTCTCCTACATGTTATTAAATGACTTACACAAAGTTCTACATTCAAAACAGTTGAAATGCTAGAACCTCTCAAAAATCCCTATAGCGAATTCTATCTCAGAAGCAAGCAAGGAACCCACCATCGAACTGGGGCTATAATGAGACAGAACAATAGTGCTGGCTTACAAACTGGAACACGGGATTCAAAAGCTTGGAGTTTTTCCATTCTTGCCTGGCTCCATATATGATAAATATTTATAACTACGGGATAGGGGGTGGAGAGAGACTTCAGCCAAATTGAATTTAATCCAAATTCTATCAGCCCAGAAAGCAGTGCTCATTTCAAGCTGGTGTCTGTGTCCCAAAGGGACTGAAGCTTGATGTATAATATGCTAATGCAGGCGGTATGTGAAAACCACATGTGCTGCAGAGGAAGACTGCCAAGGCCCATGGGTGGCTTAATTAGGAAAAGCCTACAACATGTTTGGAGATTATTGGCATTCGGGAGTTTGTGTGTTTGCGAAAACCTGTGCCCCTTTTACCCACTGACAAGTCTGCCCTCTCCTCTGTACTGTAGTGGTTTTCTACATGAATGTCCCATGAATACTGTATCCCTTTTAGTTTATGTACATTGTAACAAATCAGTGTTCAAATATTTTCATAATTCTCTGAACAAGCCAGAGAGCTAGAAGCCTTGTCTCTCCCCCCCCCCCCCCCCCCCCGTTTCTGAACCTTGAATCCCTGTGCAATCTCCATCTGGTCCCTGGATTCTATGCAATGCAGTGCAACCATGGCAATATATACCTTTTAAACTAAGAAACATGCACAGCTCACAGTCCAGGCTGCAGCCCAGAGATCCATGGTTTGACACCAGGCGTCACAGTCTAACAAGTAATCCCTACAGGAGCATCCCAGACACCCAGTAGAGAAGAGCCTGGAAATGAAATGTGGATTTGGTTGCACGAGAGTGACGTGCCCATTAAGAGAACAGCTGAACACAATGACCAGACTAAACCAAGTGTCATACTGGGAACGAGGGAAATTAAAAATGCTGTCTTCATGTGTGCATGGAAAAACACAAAGACACACTAGTTCCCTTCTAATTCTAATGAGAACTGCACAGAGTCACACATCTTTATGAGAAGCAAACACCCATAGAAGGGGTGGTAAGCCAGAAGATTTCCCAGTCTGGCTCTCAAGCATTCTTTCCAAAGAGGGGGAAGAAACCATCATGGCCGAGGCAGTAGTTTCAGGAATGCCCCAGACAGAAAAAAAAAGCTTGTGCACAGTAAAGCCAATGCAACTCAGACACCTTTTGCCAGAGCATCCGGGAGCACTACTGGGGTAACTACAGTGGGGTCTTGACTTGAGAACTTAATCCGTATTGGAAGGTGGTTCTCAAGTCAAAAAGTCTGTAAGTCAAGTCTCCATTGACCTACAGTGCATTGAAAACCGATTAATCCCGTAACAGGCCGTTTTTGTTCCATTTTGGTTTTTTTCTGGTCTGTAAGTCAAACCTAAATTTTGCGGCCAGAGAAGTCTGTAACTCAAAAAGTCTGGAAGTCAAGCCGTCTGTAAGTCAAGGGTCCATTGTATCCAGCTTCAATGTGTACACAAAGGCAAAATCAGTAGCCCTTGGAGCTGCATGGGGTGGTGGAGGAAGAAGAAAGGCCAAGACAGAAAGCCTGAAAACACACAGGCTGAACCTTTCCTGCTCCTTGTGCCCATAACCTGCCGATTGGCTATCAGACCATAATCCCTGCTAATGATGCAGATGTGTTAAAGAAAAGCAAAGAAACCTTATTAAGATAAATGGAAAACATTGTGGCAGGAAGGAGTAGCCAAGCTTACAGCATCTGACTACCACCAAATTGTGCTGCTACTGACGGAAGGGACAGGATAAGACAGGATACCCAGTGCAGCCCTAACCATTAGAAGTGCATGCCTTTTTTTTCCAAAAAGGAAGGGCCTCCTCATGCTTCTCACTGAGACACCCCCCCAACAATCTGCCTGCAAAGATGCAACTGGTGTCTTCAGAAAGGCCAGTTGGCTATGTCTCCCCTACCTGTATATCTGTATCCTCACCTGGGAAGAAAAATAAAAAACAGATCTGCGCTGACATCAGGATAGGAAACCAAAAGCCCCAGAACAAGCTGCCTATGGCATGAGTCAGGGGAACACCTGGTTCCGTCTCCCGGCAGGGGCATCGCGCCACTTGTAGCCAAAGGCAACTCCAAGGACATGAAAGTGCCTGGTAGCTTCAAAACCATTTATTCTATTGGAAACATATGTTTCTGGGAGAAAGGGAATACTCGCGGCAGACTTCTAGGCACCAACGACCCTGCAAGCAGCGGGGTGAGAAGGAAACTGCAGGGCGTCATTAGGAGGTCTTAGTCCCACAGTCTGTATGTGAGAAACAGAAACCTATCACCTTCTGGGTTCCCAAGCAGCTGGAAATCAGCAGTGAGGCTGGATTCTAGCAGAAAAGGGGTGCAGGGGAGGGCATCTGAAAATGCTAACAGAAACTTAATTCTTTCTCTCTCTGATCCAACACATCCAGCTCCACTGATATTTCCTTTATAATATGTTTGCCTAAGCTGGGGAAAGTGAACGTTAGCAGGAAAAGAGGAAGTCTTAACATGGGCTGGATTAATACAATAAAGGAAGCCACTGCCTTGAGTGTGCAAGATCTAAACAGGGCTGTTAAAGATAGGACCGTTGAGTAGTCACTCATTCACAGAGTCACCATATGTCAGAAGTAACTTGACATTGCATTACAACAAATACATATATTTAGCTCTATTTGTTGTTTAGTCGTTAAGTCGTGTCCGACTCTTCGTGACCCCATGGAGCAGAGCACGCCAGGCCCTCCTGTCTTCCACTGCCTCCTGGAGTTTGGTCAAATTCATCTTGGTAAATTCATTTACCTCTATATTTATATCTATATTCTGTCTTTGTATCTATATAAATATTTATAAGATTATCTCTCTCTCTTTTTGGTGCTTATATCTGATAGTAACCGACCTAAGATCATCTGGTGGTCTTTTGGGTGAATGGAAATTTGAACTTAGTCTTGGTAACCCAGTTATGATATGTGTTCAAATTAAAAACTTTCATGGGGGACCCATTCATGAGAATGCAGCACTAAAAAGAACTAACAAAATGGCGGAGGCAGCTGAAAACAAGCAAATTCCTAGAATATAGGAACAAACATTTATCTGCTTTGCTCCCCTACAGAATACCCCTCCCCCCAACCCCCCCCCAACAATGCAGTCCAGGAGAGGATACGTACGAGTGCCCAGTGGCAGGAATGAAATATATACAGCAGTGGACTCTGGTGTCTGGTATCCGCTTCTTACGGTTAATATTGAGCTCTTCCTGGAGATATTTTTCATACTGGTCATTGATGAACTTCATAATGGGTTGCCAACTGAGCAAAGAAAAAGGTAAATGTGTAAAAGGAAAAGCTTGACCTATTGCGATCTTGTCAGAAAATATCCTTTTTTCCCCTCCTTTCCCCGCACATGCCCAGCAACTTTTAAATGATCATTACCTTGCAGATAATACTGGTTTTATTTTGAATACACATTACCTTGCAGTCACCTGGTATTATTCTGAAGCTAATCAGTTTGTATGGATTCTTCTGGAACTCTTCATAGACTAAGTTTTGATGAACATATAAAAACAAACTTTTCCCTCAGGCATATAAAACCTTTATACAAGCCACTCTAGGAAGTTCCTAGTTAATCAAAGCTCCTCTTTAATCTGAACTGGAAATGTATCGATATCCTCTCCAGAACAAGTCATGATGTTACATCAACATCAAACCAAGGCTTAATATTATGGCTTTTTCTAAAGCTGGCAACTTTAGTTTCCAGTTTTGGAAGAAAAGGAATATTATGGTTAACTGTAGACTTGCTGGTTTGCTCATACTGCAAAGGCAGCATAAGAGGGGCTGCATATTTTGACTAAAGCTTAATTTGTATTATAGCTAATTCACACATCTTATTAATTCAAGACTTAATTTGCAAACCAGTCTGCTTTAGATGTACAATACAGAATATTATTACATCATTAGCCAATTCACCATCTTTACCATACTTAGGTCTTAGTCAAGTTTCCTCAAGAAGCAACAGTTCCCTCTCTGGTGTCATTCAGCTGAATATCTAGCTTAACGGATCAGCAAGCAGACTGAACAGCTTGTCTTTCCTTGACACACAGCCCAGGACCTCCATACCTAACTTCTCCAACATCTGTTATCATTCAGACCCCTTGTACAAACAGATGTCTGCACGAGGACTGCTGTAGTATGGGAACATCCAACCTATACTTGATTCATTTCCAGTCTGTTCAGGACCTCTCACCTTCTGGTCTTCCTGTCCCACACCTCTGCCACCACCTTATTCTGCTATTGAGTTAAGGACAAGAATGAGATCTGAAGCTGATTGGTAGTTGTTGTACTTGGGAGAGGCTCCGTTATTGTTCTGTTGGATCTGTAGCCTGATGCAGTTTTGAGAACCCTCACTCCAAGGATAGTAAACAGAGGTCCATTACACTTCCCCTTCCCTACCTGTGGGATGTACACCGATTGCACGTGACTCTTTTCTAATTTGTCTTAGCAGCTTCCTTTGGATCAGATGCCCTCCGGATGCATTTCTACCCATCAGCGTCTGCTTTTGTGTTATAGATGAATCTCCTTCTCAGCCCCTTATCCTAACCCTGAATATCATTAGATCATAAAACAATACAAATATTGACAGTTCATAAAACAGCACCCTTTTTTCTTACCCTTCGCTACAGGGTAATCAAGAAGTATAAAAATCTGTTAAAAGAGGGAGACTCTCTCAATCAGTTCAACCAAAAAACAATAGCAGCCTATAATGTAAAACAGGGCTTCCCAATCCAAGGGGTGTCCAGAGGTTGCAGGAGGATAACTCTTAGAATCCCTGCCCAGTGGCCAATCTGACTGGGGCTTATGGGAGGAGACATCTGACAACATATAAGGACCCACTGGTTAGGAACCACTGGGCTGAGATGGTGCACCACATTCCTACTGCCTCCCAACAACACTGCCTGCTCCATATGACCTGATAAAGAGCTTCTCTGCCCCACCATATCACACCCCACTCTTCAGCCTCTCCACAAACAACAACCTTCTGGCTTTCCCATTTGATGTCCCCCTCACCAATTCTCATTGTTGATGTGGTCTCCAAACCCTGGGGTGTCAATAACAGTCAGCTTCATACGAACCCCCTTCTCCTCAATATCTGAAACAAAGCATGACAAAGATGATTAAAGTCTGCCACTCTCAGATGAATGGCATGAACAAAATTCCTCCCTAAATGCGCCTGCAGTAAGAGACCTGCGGAGATAAATCTAACAATTACCAAAACTTGCTGTCCTAATGAGCCAAAAATAGAATGGCGTTCTCTCCAGTAGGCCTGGTCCTAAAAACCACCATTTCCCCACTTGTTGACACCCAGAGGAAAGCAACCCCATGATTTCTTTGTAAGGCTCACCGTGTGTAATGGACTTGATCTCAATTGTCTTGGGGATCCGCTCTTCGGAACTTGGCTGCACAGATTTGCGGCTGATCTTGGATTTAAAGAGGGTATTGATTAGAGTAGATTTTCCCAATCCACTCTGACCTGAAAGGCAACAAGAGACAACAGTTATCAGAAAACTCTTTTGTTACACAACCAAAATCACTCAACAGCTAGACACTACAGCATGTGCACATGCAAACTGTGTCCAGATGCCATTTGATTAAAAACACACTAATGGCTAAGTTTGGTCCTCAATTAGAGTGAGTGTTAATTTTGTTGTTGACAAAGAGCACCTCTCGTGATCCTAAGTAATGAAGAAGCTTTTTGGTCTGATGCTGGTTACAAGATATCTAAACTGTAAGTGGGACTAAGGATTCATATGGAAGTGACAGTTCAAAGAAGTACTTCCCCCAAGTTCTGTGTTTTCTAATGGATACTGTCTTTGTTTTTACAGAATTTTTGCAGGGGGAACCTATGTGACCCTCCCTCACTGAAGATGGGAAATTGGTAATATGGCTGAGACAGGAATAACCAAAGCTTGATACGCTCACTGTGTTTATTGTGATAAAACAACAACAGTTTATGTTGCTGTTCACATATACCTTAACCCAGAATTAATGACATTTAATATGTATAGGATTCCTTTAAAGTTTAAAACATTTGTCCCTTGACTTGGGTTCAAATGCGCAGTGAAGGATATACCAAAACTATAATTTATTTTCAATACTCTCAGTGAGAGGTGACGTTCTGCTGAAGTAGAATGCCTATTTTACAACATGTTTACTTATTCTATGGCTGGAATCCTTTTGATGCACGTTGTGTCACAGATACGTCCTAGAATGCCTTCAGGAGCCGTGAAATGGGGTAAGGAGTGATTTAAAGCTGGAAAATTGCTGCCACTGGTTTCTGAACTTTCAGGTATGAAAGATATCCCTAGGGATCCCAGGAACCTGGTACAGAAGGACAGGAAGTTTTTAATTCCCCTGAAATGGCCACAGTATGACTGAGAATAATGATGTTACCAGAGATCCACAGCATAACATATCAATAGGATTCTGACTGATGCACGAACTCTAGACAAGACTTTTAACAACTGAACTCCAACTAAAAAACTAATCCCTTTTTAGCACTCCTTGACCCTGCTAGGAACTTTTCCAAGCCTGCTGAAAATATAGGGGTTAGTTTTGGCTGACCAGATATTTCTATGGTAAAACCTATCAAGCTATTTCCTTAGTTGAGCCCCATCTGGCAGCCAAACTGTCAGACCCTGTCTTCTAAATCTCCCAATCTCACCTGACTGGTGGCAGTTCTGTCATAATGTAATTGGCTAAGAAGGCTTCAGAAGGACAAACTATGGCAATCTGCAACAAAATATTGCAGTACATTCTCATCTTCTAACCATGGGTGTTTCTGTTCGATGTCCCAGTCAGCCAGTTGTGCCATCTTCTGGAATGCACAGAAGCTATCAGGGTAGGAATGGACAACTTGAGATCCTGCAACCCCCAACTGCCCTAGGCAGCACAACCCAACAGTGAGGCATGATAGGAATTTTAGTCCAAAAACACCTGGTGGAGGGGGAAACACATCTTCCATCTCTGTTTTAGGGAGCTGAGTAGAAAAAAAAATTCTCGCCTCTGGTTTTCCAACTGGCACACAGTGTTTCTTGGTTCCTGCAATCCCCCAAATAGGATAAGACCTCAATGGATTCTGGGGAGGGGGTGACTGACACTCCACTTTAGACTTTTGGTTTTTTTTAACAAATCTTGAGGTTCAACATGACAGTTTCCTATTTCACCCCCATTTCTGTTGTCATGGGGACACTGAGTTTGTTATGAGAAAGATACATATAGTGTGTATGAAACGGAAACTCATCTCATTTCTGAAAGCAATGAACTCCCTCCTCAGTTGTGATGAAACATTGCCCCCATCTTCATGATTTTAAGTAACAAAATTTCACAACTCACTTTCCTTTTTCTAGTTGACAGTAACATTCCCTATTTGTATATTACATCCAGACGCTACAAAGGAGAAAACTACCCATGGGCCTTTTCTGAAGTGGGTTTGAAAGAACAGATACATTTATAATCCGGAAGTAAACCAAGAACATAACGGCAGCCTTGGAAAAGAAGGGCACTTTTAAAAGTCAGTTAAAAACATGGCTATACATCCAGGCCTTCCCTCCAGCTAATACCTGATTTTTCTGTTTACTCTTCTTTTATTTATTTTCTACTCTATCCTTGCATTGTGTGTGTTATAGTATGATTTATGTAATTTTTGCTTTATTTTATTGTTTATCCTATACTGGAAGCTGCCTAGAGTGGTCTATTAGGCCAGATAGGTGGGGTATAAATAAATAAATAAATAAATAAGGGTACTAGCCCAAATTCAACAAAAACTAAAAACCTCAATCAAAAACCTCAAATGAGGAAATGTATGAGAGTGTCTTGTTTAGATAAACTCTTCTGGAGTGGTTAAGTTTCACACGGAACACAGGAAACTGAGTCTGCTTGCATGGGCTAAAGGTCACATATGCCACAAAAGCGAGATAGCTACTACGTATTAGCATCAAAACTGAAAACCTTCTGCATAAAAATTTCAGAATGCTTGACCAATAAGAACATAAGAAAACCTGAGCTGCATCAGACTATCTAGCCCAGCTTTCAGTTTGTTCAGTGCCCTACCACCTGTTCATGAGGAGCCTATATGTGGCATGCACCACCAAACACTGCTAGACCTTTCACATACAGCCACAATTTGTTTCTTCTTTCTAGCAAGGTATGAAAACCACAATCTGGTTTGTCCTTCTGTGCTAAATAAGAAAGCAAGGGTCCACCTGCATTACCAGAAGATGGTAAGAATATTTTTGGTTGATCTCAAAAATACCTGGTGCATTTAGACAAAGTGTCATGGCATAGTGGTTAAATTGCAGTAGTACTGCAATGAAGATTCGGCTCATGGCCTGAGTTTGATTTCAATGGGCTCAGATAACTGGCTCAAGGCTGACTCAGCCTTCTGACCTTCCAATATTAGTATATTGAGTAACCAGCTTGCTGGGGGGTGGGGGGAGAATGTGTAGCTTTCTTTCACCCAGAGAGAACTTTAAGCACTATGGGGCAGTAAATAAGTGCTGCGCTTGGTTTTACAAGACAATTTTTGTACAATTCTGTAAATAGAGTAACTTTTGCTTTGTTGCATGAACCATTGAAAAGTGGAAGCAGAAGATGGGTTCTTTGTGCTTCTGAGACCAGCTTTCTTGTTTTCCCCTTTGTTCTGTGTGTATAATTAGCCACACAAACAGAAAATACAGCAGAATTAGTTTTCCCAAACTGTGCACGCATGATGAGAAACATGTGCTTGTTGTCTCACCCTCACACTGGGGCAAGATCTCTCGCCAAGGCTTGAGAATCCTCAAAAAGGCTAAACACAAGTGGGGAGGAATCCAAAAATGAAAACAAAGCTGTTCAATTTACATTTACATTTTGCCCAGGGGTGGGCAAAATGCGGCCCTCCAGATGTTGCTGAACTGCAACTCCCATAATTCCTAGGCCACACAGCCAATAGTGTGAGGAGAGTTGGGCCTAGCCCACACAGTGAGGAATGTTGGGATTTGCAGTTCAGCAACATCTGGAGGGCCGCACTTTGCCCAGGTCTGGTATAAACATTCTCATTCAGATCATACTTCTACGGACCTCACAAAGTTTTCCTTCATGGTTAGGGACGGGGATTCAGATTGTTGGATCAGCTCCGGCTTAGCATAGGTCAGAACTGAGCAAGTTCTTAGGTAAATGGTGAATAAGGAATAGAGAAAGTTGCTAAAGCAATCTATTGGTCCACTGTCTGAGAACATGGGATTCTCCTATGTGAAGTTGCTAAGCAGAGAAGATACTATCCAAAGCTGCAGTCTTCTCACCCGTGAGCTCCTTTTCTTGCTTCTCATTCTGCAATGGTTAGCCAACAAATCATTTATACTTTCTAATACTACGAATCCAGCTACATAAAATCTTTTTCTTATTATGTCAGAATGTATGCCTGCTATGAAAACTGATATCCGTAGTTGTTTCTTCCTAAAACCTCTTAACTGTTAAAGCAGTACAACAATGGAACCAATTTCCTCAGAAGGTGGTGAGCACTCCAACACCAGAGACATTCAAGACCAAACTGGACGACCATCTGTCAGATCTGCTTTGATCTGGCTTCCTCCAGGGGAGGTTTGACTCTATGGCCTTATAGGCCTCTTCCAACTCCATTATTCTAGGATTCTATAAAAGGGGGTCCCCGCCCCATTAAAGGAGGCAGTGATTCACCCACTCCTAAAAAACCCTAATCTGGACCCAGGTCTAGTGATCAACTTCCGACCAGTAGCGAACCTCCCTTTTCTGGACAAGGTGCTGGAACATGTGTTGGCTGAACAGCTCCAGGCTCTCCTGGATGAAACGGATTTTCTAGATCCATTTCAATTGGGTTTCAGGCCGGGGTATGGGATGGAGACTGCCTTGGTCTCCGTGTTTGATGACTTTTGCAGGGAGAAAGACGGGGGAATGTATCTCTGTTGACTCTCTTGGACCTCTCAGCGGCTTTTGACACCATCGTCCATGGTGTCCTTCTGGACAGATTGGCTGGGATGCGAATGGGAGGCACTGTTTTATGATGGTTCCGCTCCTACCTGGCTGATTGAGTCCAGAAGGTGTGCTGGTGAACAGTACCTCTGATCCATGGTGGTTGCATCACGGGGTTCCTCAGGGCTCTATACTGTCCCCCATGCTATACAATATCTACATGAAACCGCTGGGGGAGGATGTTAGGAGGTTTGGGCTGAGGAGTCAGAAATATGCTGACAACACCCAGCTCTAAATCTCATTCTCTACCAATCCAGGTGTGGCAGTCCAGTTGCCATTCTGAACTCATGCCTGGACTCAATAATGGACTGGATGAGGGTCAATAAACTGAGGCTTAATCCAGACAAGTCAGAAGTGCTGCTTGTAGGTGCTCCACCAGACAGGTTAAAGGGCCATTTCCCTGCCTTAGACAGGGTTAAAAAGGAAAAGGTTCCCCTTGACATTTTTAGTCCAGTCGTGTCCGACTCTAGGGGGTCGTGCTCATCC